TGCTTCTATATCTACGTTATCAATCCCGTTAATATCTCGTAGGTCGTTATTATGTCTGCCCTACTTCTTTCTTCCAGTATAGATAGGTCAAGTCCCTCAGTCTTTCTTCATAGCCCAGTACCCCTGGTGTGTGTGTGTGTGTGTGTGTGTGTGTGTGTGTGTGTGTGTGTGTGTGTGTGTGTGTGTGTGTGTGTGTGTGTGTGTGTGTGTGTACTCACCTAGTTGTACTTGCGGGGGTTGAGCTCTGGCTCTTTGGTCCCGCCTCTCAACCGTCAATCAACAGGTGTACAGGTTCCTGAGCCTATTGGGCTCTATCATATCTACACTTGAAACTGTGTATGGAGTCAGCCTCCACCACATCACCCCCTAATGCATTCCATTTGTCAACCACTCAGACACTAAAAAAGTTCTTTCTAATATCTCTGTGGCTCATTTGGGCACTCAGTTTCCACCTGTGTGTGTCAGAGTGAGGGAATACCTGGGCATACGACCCATCTTTCTAATAACATATCACTTTTTTGTACCTATATGGACGATCGGACAAAAATATCGACCTGATAGACAAATAGAAAGTAGAATCTGATACTATTAACTTTATAGAATCCAGGAAAAATAAAGCTAAACCCCAAAGTCAAAAATTATAAAGCCTTAGTATAGCATATTTATGTACTATATTTGGCCTCAGCGTGTATTAGGCCTAGCAACGTTAAGTTCGGTTAGTTTCCGTTAGCAGAAAAATATAAAACTTTTCCAGTTGGTCCAAATTCAATACTACAAAGTCTACATTCTACTGGTCCATCACGTCCATATATGTACGAGCGACCACAAAGTTACTTTTAGTATGCAGATGAAGAGTCACAATAACGTGGCTGAATAACGACGCTGAATAACGTGGCTGAATAACGTGGCTGAATAACGAGGCTGAATAACGAGGCTGAATAACGTGGCTGAATAACGTGGCTGAATAACGTGGCTGAATAACGTGGCTGAATAACGTGGCTGAATAACGAGGCTGAATAACGTGGCTGAATAACGTGGCTGAATAACGTGGCTGAATAACGAGGCTGAATAACGTGGCTGAATAACGTGGCTGAATAACGAGGCTGAATAACGTGGCTGAATAACGTGGCTGAATAACGAGGCTGAATAACGAGGCTGAATAACGTGGCTGAATAACGTGGCTGAATAACGAGGCTGAATAACGAGGCTGAATAACGAGGCTGAATAACGAGGCTGAATAACGTGGCTGAATAACGTGGCTGAATAACGTGGCTGAATAACGACGCTGAATAACGTGGCTGAATAACGTGGCTGAATAACGTGGCTGAATAACGTTTACTGTAAGTACTTCCATGTTAGGAGGCAGGCTTATATACGGCCACACTGATGGCTCCGGTTCCGCTCAAACTCTCATTTGATGACCATACCGACGGAATGGTCATTGACGCGAGTACCCTAGGGGGCCAGATTCACGAAGTTACGCAAGCACTTACGAACCTGTACATCTTTTCTCTATTTGGCGGCTTTGTTTACAATTATTTAAACAGTTAATGAGCACCGAAGCACCAGGAGGCTGTTTATAACAATAACAACAGTTGATTGGCAAGTTTTCATGCTTGTAAACTGTTTAAGAAATGTAACCAAAGCCGTCAAAGATTGAGGAAAGATGTGCACGTTCGTAAATACTTGCGTAGCTGCTTCGTGAATCTGGCCCCTGAACTATAGCAAGGGTGGCAGCGTTTTTTGTCAAGATGAAGCTGTGTGATAGTAAGGTTGCCATCTTGCAGGATGTATGTTGCACAATGTTGCTAAACTTGCGATGGATTCTGTATGGTCTGGGGAAACCTCAGGGTGAGGTAGAGGGGCCCCGGGTGAGGTAGAGGGGACCCCGGGTGAGGTAGAGGGGACCCCGGGTGAGGGAGAGGGCCCCGGGTGAAGGAGAGGGGACCCCGGGTGAGGGAGAGGGCCCCGGGTGATGGAGAGGGCCCCGGGTGAGGGAGAGGGCCCCGGGTGAGGGAGAGGGCCCCGGGTGAAGGAGAGGGGACCCCGGGTGAGGGAGAGGGCCCCGGGTGAGGTAGAGGGCCCCGGGTGAGGGCCCCGGGTGAGGGAGAGGGGACCCCGGGTGAGGGAGAGGGCCCCGGGTGAGGTAGAGGGCCCCGGGTGAGGGAGAGGAGACCCCGGGTGAGGTAGAGGGCCCCGGGTGAGGGAGAGGGGACCCCGGGTGAGGGAGAGGGCCCCGGGTGAGGGAGAGGGGACCCCGGGTGAGGTAGAGGGCCCCGGGTGAGGGAGAGGGGACCCCGGGTGAGGGAGAGGGGACCCCGGGTGAGGGAGAGGGCCCCGGGTGAGGTAGAGGGCCCCGGGTGAGGTAGAGGGCCCCCAACTGGGTAAAGTGGTGGGGGCCCCTAGGAAACAGGACCCGTGCTGGCGTAACTTCTCAGGTGGTCCCCCTTGCAACATGGTCTTATCACCTAACTTCCCATCTGTCCTTGTTCTCCAGCCTCGCATACTTGGCCAAGTGGGCAGGTGTGCCGTGTTGCCACACTAACACGCCCCTGTGCCATGTTGCCACACTAACACGCCCCTGTGCCGTGTTGCCACACTAACACGCCCCTGTGCCATGTTGCCACACACTAACACGCCCCTGTGCCATGTTGCCACACACTAACACGCCCCTGTGCCATGTTGCCACACACTAACACGCCCCTGTGCCGTGTTGCCACACACTAACACGCCCCTGTACCGTGTTGCCACACACTAACACGCCCCTGTGCCGTGTTGTGCCGTGTTGCCACACTAACACGCCCCTGTGCCATGTTGCCACACACTAACACGCCCCTGTGCCATGTTGCCACACACTAACACGCCCCTGTGCCATGTTGCCACACACTAAAACGCCCCTGTGCCGTGTTGCCACACTAACACGCCCCTGTGCCGTGTTGCCACACACTAACACGCCCCTGTGCCGTGTTGCCACACACTAACACGCCCCTGTGCCGTGTTGCCACACACTAACACGCCCTGTGCCGTGTTGCCACACACTAACACGCCCCTGTGCCGTGTTGCCACACACTAACACGCCCCTGTGCCGTGTTGCCACACTAACACGCCCCTGTGCCGTGTTGCCACACACTAACACGCCCCTGTGCCGTGTTGCCACACACTAACACGCCCCTGTGCCGTGTTGCCACACACTAACACGCCCTGTGCCGTGTTGCCACACACTAACACGCCCCTGTGCCGTGTTGCCACACTAACACGCCCCTGTGCCGTGTTGCCACACTAACACGCCCCTGTGCCGTGTTGCCACACTAACACGCCCCTGTGCCGTGTTGCCACACTAACACGCCCCTGTGCCGTGTTGCCACACTAACACGCCCCTGTGCCGTGTTGCCACACTAACACGCCCCTGTGCCGTGTTGCCACACTAACACGCCCCTGTGCCGTGTTGCCACACTAACACGCCCCTGTGCCGTGTTGCCACACTAACACCGCCCCTGTGCCGTGTTGGCACACTAACACCGCCCCTGTGCCCTGTTGCCATACTAACACTTGTGGTGTCATCCACACGTATCTGCTGGGCGCACATGTCTTCTGAACACAAGGCACAGGGTGTGCCAGCACACCCTGGCACACCCCCACCCCTCCCTAGGACGGGGGGGGGGAAGAATAGTGCCCAACCACTTGGACGGTCGGGGACTGAACACCGAGCGTGAGGGAGAAGCAGAGAGAACAGTGCCAGCGTGAGGAAGAAGCAGAGAGAACAGTGCCAGCGTCAGGGAGAAGCAGAGAGAACAGTGCCAGCATGAGGAAGAAGCAGAGAGAACAATGCCAGCGTGAGGAAGAAGCAGAGAGAACAGTGCCAGCGTGAGGGAGAAGCCGAGAGAACAGTGCCAGCATCAGGGAGAAGCAGAGAGAACAGTGCCAGCGTGAGGGAGAAGCAGAGAGAACAGTGCCAGCATCAGGGAGAAGCAGAGAGAACAGTGCCAGCGTGAGGAAGAATCAGAGAGAACAGTGCCAGCGTGAGGAAGAAGCAGAGAGAACAGTGCCAGCGTGAGGGAGAAGCCGAGAGAACAGTGCCAGCATCAGGGAGAAGCAGAGAGAACAGTGCCAGCATCAGGGAGAAGCAGAGAGAACAGTGCCAGCATCAGGGAGAAGCAGAGAGAACAGTGCCAGCGTGAGGGAGAAGCAGAGAGAACAGTGCCAGCATCAGGGAGAAGCAAAGAGAACAGTGCCAGCGTGAGGAAGAAGCAGAGAGAACAGTGCCAGCATCAGGGAGAAGCAGAGAGAACAGTGCCAGCGTGAGGAAGAAGCAGAGAGAACAGTGCCAGCGTGAGGACGAAGCAGAGAGAACAGTGCCAGCATCAGGGAGAAGCAGAGAGAACAGTGCCAGCGTGAGGGAGAAGCAGAGAGAGAACAGTGCCAGCGTGAGGGAGAAGCAGAGAGAACAGTGCCAGCGTGAGGGAGAAGCAGAGAGAGAACAGTGCCAGCGTGAGGGAGAAGCAGAGAGAGAACAGTGCCAGCGTGAGGGAGAAGCAGAGAGAACAGTGCCAGCGTGAGGGAGAAGCAGAGAGAACAGTGCCAGCGTGAGGGAGAAGCAGAGAGAACAGTGCCAGCGTGAGGGAGAAGCCGAGAGAGAACAGTGCCAGCGTGAGGGAGAAGCCGAGAGAGAACAGTGCCAGCGTGAGGGAGAAGCAGAGAGAACAGTGCCAGCGTGAGGTAGAAGCAGAGAGAACAGTGCCAGCGTGAGGGAAAAGCAGAGAGAACAGTGCCAGCGTGAGGGAGAAGCCGAGAGAGAACAGTGCCAGCGTGAGGGAGAAGCCGAGAGAGAACAGTGCCAGCGTGAGGGAGAAGCCGAGAGAGAACAGTGCCAGCGTGAGGGAGAAACAGAGAGAACAGTGCCAGCGTGAGGTAGAAGCAGAGAGAACAGTGCCAGCGTGAGGGAGAAGCAGAGAGAACAGTGCCAGGGAGACTTGTATCAGCAAGTGTTGGGGATGAGGTACCTGGTCTGGTGGTGGTGAGAGGTCTTGAGGGAGGGTGGGTGGTGGTGGTCGTGGAGGTGGTCCTGGTCGTCGTCGTCGTTGTCGTCGCTCTTGCCCTCATCTGTCGTGCCCTCGCTGCCGCCGCTGGCGCCACGTCTGTCCACGACAAGAAAGTAGTATTAGTGCCTCCCGCAGCAACATCATCTGAAGCAACACTATTTTCCCGCTCTGAGTGGTGCTGTGACGCCCATAGCCCCTCCCTGCTAGCCCTCACCCCAGCCCCCAGCCCCTCCCTGCTAGCCCTCACCACACCCCCCAGCCCTTCCCTGCTAGCCCTCACCACACCCCCCAGCCCTCCCTGCTAGCCCTCACCACACCCTAGTCCTCCCTGCTAGCCCTCACCACACCCCCAGCCCCTCCCTGCTAGCCCTCACCACAGCCCCCAGCCCCTCCCTGCTAGCCCTCACCACACCCCCCAGCCCTTCCCTGCTAGCCCTCACCACACCCCCAGCCCCTCCCTGCTAGCCCTCACCACAGCCCCCAGCCCCTCCCTGCTAGCCCTCAACACACCCCCCAGCCCTCCCTGCTAGCACTCACCACACCCCCCAGCCCTCCCTGCTAGCCCTCACCACACCCCCCAGCCCTCCCTGCTAGCCCTCACCACACCCCAGTCCTCCCTGCTAGCCCTCACCACAGCCCCAGCCCCTCCCTGCTAGCCCTCACCACACCCCCCAGCCCCTCCCTGCTAGCCCTCACCACACCCCCCAGCCCTCCCTGCTAGCCCTCACCACAGCCCCCAGCCCCTCCCTGCTAGCCCTCACCACAGCCCCCAGCCCCTCCCTGCTAGCCCTCACCACAGCCCCAGCCCCTCCCTGCTAGTCCTCACCACAGCCCTAGCCCCTCCCTGCTAGCCCTCACCACACCCCCCAGCCCCTCCCTGCTAGCCCTCACCACACCCCCCAGCCCCTCCCTGCTTGCCCTCACCACACCCCCCAGCCCCTCCCTGCTAGCCCTCACCACACCCCCCAGCCCCTCCCTGCTAGCCCTCACCACACCCCCCAGCCCCTCCCTGCTAGCCCTCACCACAGCCCCAGCCCCTCCCTGCTAGCCCTCACCACACCCCCCAGCCCCTCCCTGCTTGCCCTCACCACACCCCCAGCCCCTCCCTGCTAGCCCTCACCACACCCCCCAGCCCCTCCCTGCTAGCCCTCACCACCCCCCCCAGCCCCTCCCTGCTAGCCCTCACCACACCCCCCAGCCCCTCCCTGCTAGCCCTCACCACCCCCCAGCCCCTCCCTGCTAGCCCTCACCACACCCCCCAGCCCCTCCCTGCTAGCCCTCACCACAGCCCCCAGCCCCTCCCTGCTAGCCCTCACCACAGCCCCCAGCCCCTCCCTGCTAGCCCTCACCACAGCCCCCAGCCCCTCCCTGCTAGCCCTCACCACAGCCCCCAGCCCCTCCCGGCTAGCCCTCACCACACCCCCAGCCCCTCCCTGCTAGCCCTCACCACAGCCCCTGCCCCTCCCTGCTAGCCCTCACCACAGCCCCCAGCCCCTCCCTGCTAGCCCTCACCACACCCCCCAGCCCTTCCCTGCTAGCCCTCACCACACCCCCCAGCCCCTCCCTGCTAGCCCTCACCACAGCCCCTGCCCCTCCCTGCTAGCCCTCACCACACCCCCCAGCCCCTCCCTGCTAGCCCTCACCACAGCCCCCAGCCCTCCCTGCTAGCCCTCACCACAGCCCCCAGCCCCTCCCGGCTAGCCCTCACCACACCCCCCAGCCCCTCCCTGCTAGCCCTCACCACAGCCCCTGCCCCTCCCTGCTAGCCCTCACCACAGCCCCTGCCCCTCCCTGCTAGCCCTCACCACAGCCCCCAGCCCCTCCCTGCTAGCCCTCACCACACCCCAGCCCCTCCCTGCCAGAACTACAGGACAACATATACATAACACTTACGACCATCCTGGAGTAACTGTGTATATAAGCAGTGTAGCCATAGGGTACTGACCAACAACTATCATACAAATGTATATAAATAGTTCCTAAATCTATCGCTTGAGTGGTATAGAGCAGATCATTTGCACACCAATAATTATGAGACATAACTCTTATGTGTCTTACTAATTACGAGCCGAGTTTATGTCTCAAGGATGCTGACATTATGGATAATCTCTGGTGTTAAACACTAGCCCGCACATCACCTGGTATTGTGGTGGGGGGAGGGGGGGACCATCCAGCACATCACCTGGTATTGTGGTGGGGGGAGGGGGGGGGGACCATCCAGCACATCACCTGGTATTGTGGTGGGGGGAGGGGGACACCATCCAGCACATCACCTAGTATTGTGGTGGGGGGAGGGGGGGACCATCCAGCACATCACCTGGTATTGTGGTGGGGGGAGGGGGGGGACCATCCAGCACATCACCTGGTATTGTGGTGGGGGGAGGGGGGACCATCCAGCACATCACCTGGTATTGTGGTGGGGGGAGGGGGGGGACCATCCAGCACATCACCTGGTATTGTGGTGGGGGGAGGGGGGGGGGGACCATCGAGCACATCACCTGGTATTGTGGTGGGGGGAGGGGGGGGGACCATCCAGCACATCACCTGGTATTGTGGTGGGGGGAGGGGGGGGGACCATCCAGCACATCACCTGGTATTGTGGTGGGGGGAGGGGGAGGACCATCCAGCACATCACCTGGTATTGTGGTGGGGGGAGGGGGGGGACCATCCAGCACATCACCTGGTATTGTGGTGGGGGGAGGGGGGGACCATCCAGCACATCACCTGGTATTGTGGTGGGGGGAGGGGGGGACCATCGAGCACTTCACCTGGTATTGTGGTGGGGGGAGGGGGGGGGACCATCCAGCACATCACCTGGTATTGTGGTGGGGGGAGGGGGGGGACCATCCAGCACATCACCTGGTATTGTGGTGGGGGGAGGGGGGGGACCATCCAGCACATCACCTGGTATTGTGGTGGGGGGAGGGGGGGACCATCCAGCACATCACCTGGTATTGTGGTGGGGGGAGGGGGGGACCATCGAGCACATCACCTGGTATTGTGGTGGAGGGAGGGGGGGGGGACCATCCAGCACATCACCTGGTACTGTGGTGGAGGGAGGAGGGGGACCATCGAGCACATCACCTGGTACTAGGGGAGGAGGGGGGGGGGAGGGACCATCCAGCACATCACCTGGTACAAGGGGGGGGGTGTGGGAAACAATGACCCCCCAGGCGTGGTCTCCGTGATGGCCGCTGGGAGCGCGTGGCAGCACCATCAGCAGCGGGCCGCGGTGCCTCGCTCCTCTCGATAACCATGACTCCAATATATTGAGTGCCAGCCTGTCCACAATACGCCCAGAGGGACGGAGTGGTGGGACGGAAGCGAGGGAGAGGGACGAGAAAGAAAGATGAGAGTTGGGAGAGTGGCAAGGTACGAGGGGCGGAGGCAACTGGCACCAGAGCGGACCATCACCATCTGTTGTTGACCGACATTACTGACAGTGCCACGCGTCCCTCTGCCTGGTACACCCCCCCCCCCCCGGCACGCCACAGTCGTCAACGGTCGTGCCAGGATCCTCACTGCCTGTCCAGGCCTGTCACAGTGTGTCCATGGTCACCACCTGTCCAGGCCTGTCACCGTGTGTCCATGGTCACCACCTGTCCAGGCCTGTCACCGTGTGTCCATGGTCACCACCTGTCCAGGCCTGTCACCGTGTGTCCATGGTCACCACCTGTCCAGGCCTGTCACCGTGTGTCCATGGTCACCACCTGTCCAGGCCTGTCACCGTGTGTCCATGGTCACCACCTGTCCAGGCCTGTCACCGTGTGTCCATGGTCACCACCTGTCCAGGCCTGTCACCGTGTGTCCATGGTCACAACCTGTCCAGGCCTGTCACCGTGTGTCCATGGTCACCACCTGTCCAGGGATGTCGTGACCGGCCGCTGCAGGTGGACACAATATGTGCTGAGGAGTCACCAAGTATCCTCCCACACTACAACCCACCAATCTTCACCTATGAGCGCCCCGCTCTGCTGGTCCGTCTTCACCACAGGCTACTCAGCCTCATTTGTTACATTTGATTGATTGATTGATGAAGATTAAGCCACCCAAAAGGTGGCACGGGCATGAATAGCCCGTAAGTGGTGGCCCTTTTGAGCCATTACCAGTGTCAATAGCTGATACTGGAGATCTGCGACGGTGCGACTGCACCCTGCGTGACGGGAGATGTCTCCCCCGTGGTTACATTTGAGTGTGTGTGTGTGTGTTAGCGTTTGATCATTTTTCTGTGGCCGTAACAACGGTGTTATAGGAGCTAAATAGATACAATATTCCTCAGAACTCTGGGATAGGTTTACAAATCTGATGACTTACCCCAGAAGGTACAATTAATCCGTAAGGGATAGAGTTACGTATGCTAATAGGACCACAAGGTTTATCCCTATTGAATAGAACATTATTGTCACCTATCCTTTGTCCATTAGAGGGCCTATACAGGCGACTTCACAGCTCAGAGCAGACAACTTCATGCAGAGGCCTAGTGTGTCAAGGGATAGGTGCGGGGGTATTGTACCTGCATTTGACCGGAAATGATGAGTGACGAAGATTAAGGCACCTAAGATGTGTCACCGGCATGAACAGCTCGTAATTGTACCTGGATGAAGTCCTGGCTGTTGTTCTGCGCCCCAAGCCCGGTCCCGGGACAGGCTTGACTTGTGAGAGCACCACAGCCCGGCTAGTCCGCCACTTTTTACAAAAACTGTCTCAGTTTTCACTTGAAGATGTCCACGGTTGTTCCGTGGACATCTAACTCCGGACATCCGTAACTCTTAATATGGCTCCAATCACTACTTTTATGATTTTTGTAGATAGACTCAACATAACAAAAACCGTTGGAGTCTTTGGAATGTTAGAGAAAAAATTTAAAACCAAATTGTATTGTTTGTTTTCAGTTTGAGCTGGCAAGGTTAGTGTGAACACTGGCACGTGCTACGTTGAGAGATGTGCTCGCGGCCCTGGTCACCCACAACACTGTCCTCCTGGCAAGGTTAGTGTGAACACTGGCACGTGCTACGTTGAGAGATGTGCTCGCGGCCCTGGTCACCCACAACACTGTCCTCCTGGCAAGGTTAGTGTGAACACTGGCACGTGCTACG